TAAAAGGGGTAGCCTCTGGCCACAGTGCCTGTGCCAGCTCCAAGCCTGCCAGCCCAGAGCCAGCAGTGGCCACCGAGGCCCTGACCCAGTGGCCCCAAAACATGAGCCAGCAAGCCACTGTCAGCCAGCCCTCCACCGCTCCCCAGGAGCAGTCTGCCAGCTCCCAGGAGCCTGACAGGGGCTGGAGAAGGTGGGCACCTTCCTGGTCCAGGGTGAAGATCATGGACCTTATTCAGGTTGGGGGGGACGCCCCCCAACGTCCATGATCTCTGCACTAAACAGAGGAATGAGGCCGTCGATGGCAGGATAGCTGCCAGCCTGGCCACCAAAGGCCACATGCGAACCCAGGAGCAGGTTAGCATAAATGTCAAGTTGGTCTGGTGAGACCCCCAACCTGGAGCCCTGAGCTTCCCCTCCCCCTTCTTCCCTTTGCTTCTCCCTTCCAGCTCCCTCCTCCCCTCTCCCACCCTCTCTCTTCTCCTCTCCCACCTCCTTTTCCCAGTCTCCCCAAAGGTTCATCCCCTCTCAGTTTTGTTCAATAAACCCACTTTGTATTTTTGAACATACGTGTCTTTTATTTGACATCAGGAAGGGGGGCTAGAGAAGGGTAAGTGGAAGGATGTGAGGGAGGAATGGGGCACGAGCCCCCAGTGGGGAGGACCAGGGTGGCTCTGAGGGCTCCTCGGGGTGGACACTCTCCCGCAGGGCCTCCTGGATCCTGACAGCCCCCCAATAGACCTCTCCGGATGGCAGCCTTCAGCAAGTGCAGCTGGGCTGATGGCATCGACCCCACTAGACGCACCGGCATGCCCAGGGGCAGCTCTGGCTCCATGTGGCCGAATGCTGTGGTGTTCCGAGTGTGGGCACTCAGGGCACTCCAAGACAGGACTGCTTTGCTGTCCCTCTTTGAGGTAGACAAGCAAGCGGGGAACCCTGAGAACTGTTTGTCTGGGGTAGGGGTAGGTCCCTTTAAGCACAGAGCTCAGTTAGCCTCAGGCAGCAGCCCCGCACACTAGGTCCTAACGTGATGCCCAGCCGGCACTGGTTCCAGACAGCTTTAACTTCGGTTCAGGGTCCACTCAGTGTGGACAAGCTATTTCAAAATAGCAAAATGATATTTCGAAATAGTTTTTGTGTGTAGATGCACTATTTCGAATTAGCTTAATTCGAATTAACTATTTCAAATTAAGTTAATTCGAAATAGTGCTGTAGTGTAGACATACCCTCAGCTCATTAAGTATTTGCAAGCAAATATAAGCTGGTATGATAAAGTTACAGACAAGCCTAACTATCACATGTTGTAAAAATAGTCAATATGAGTAAAAAAAGAATCTGAAACATTATGAGATGATTTTGGGAATCTGAGAGCCAGTCTTCAAATACAGAGCGAAACCATAGATTGCAGCTAAACTGTACAGAATACAGATCATAGGGTGACTTGCAATTCTGCATTCCCTCCTCAGATTCTGCTGCTGCCTGTGGAGAAGGCAAGTGCCCCTGTGCCGTGTTACAATGTAGCCAGAGATTGGGTTGGTGCAAGGGTCTCCTGGCCTTTCCCTTATACATCCATGTTCTCTTTTTCCTGCTACCCTACCCCCAGAGGAATGCAGAGTGATATGACAGAGTTACATTGAGACAATTACAACGGCTTTAGGGACAGAATACTCAGGAGGATCTGTCCCATAGCTTATAACAGCTATATTTAAAATAATCTATCATATATGCATATTGAAATACATTAAACAATATGTTTCATAAAGGTCTTATTTAAGTTTTTAACCCGATGAGCTGTAATCTCCCAGTGGGACACACTAATGAAAAATGCATTAGAGCTAATTGGGGAGCTCTCATTCCTCCCAAACCCATCCTGTTAATACTTTATGAGGAGCCTGATGTGCTACTTAATTTTCTCAAGAGGCCAAAATAGTTTTACAGGAGGAGAAATGGTAAATTATAAATATTTACTCTCTTCCTCACACCTACTGCTCCCCAAAACCAATGTCTTTATCTGCTTTTTTTATTCAATAGGTTTTGACAATAACATGATAAAAACAAAATTTTAAAATGTTTCATACAAATGTGGTTAAAAAAATAAGAATTCTGCAAGTATGTTGTTTTTAAAAAGCATGCATGATCTTTGGATCAATTTCTGGCACATGCACCTTTATACAGATGCAATTTTATCAAAAATGTAATAATTTTGTGTTGTGGGATATAGTGATTCCCATGTTTAGTAAATAAATTAATAATTAAAACAAATAATACTTTTTTCAACAAAATACTTTTTCCTCTATTCCTGAGTTGCCTGCAATCAGATGAAAATATTTGCAGTGAATTATTATACAAAATTATTTCAAAATTGTTTTGGCATGTAATTTTTGGCCCGATAGAGATTTGCAAATTTGCAAATAGTGGATTTTGCCAATTAATAATTTGAAATTACATCTTTGTTTTTTAGTCATATAAGTAACATATTGTTACAAAATTACAAAATTCAGAAAGTGGGCTGTGAATTTTACAGTTCAGAATACCTATTCTTCATATTCATTTTTCACAGTTCACACTAGTAAAGCTAGCACACTTGAATATCTGCAGAACATTAACATTAAAGAGTTACAAGGAAGGTCAAACAAAAATTTCCTTCTGTATTTGTATAAATATTAATGGAGTTGGCCCCCCCCCCCCATTGTCATTCTACTCTACTTGTGAGGGTGTTGCCATTTGCTGCCATTTGAAGACAAATTATAGATCAGCTATCATAGCAGTGCAGAGATGTAAGAGTCCATAGCATCTAAATTCCTCTTTTTCAGCATGTTTTTTTTCAAAATGAGAGATAATATACATTTAAAACTATTTATTCTATTATGCATTCTATACTTTACATTACAAGATGTACATTCAACATTTTTTTGTGTCAAACTGAAAAGAGATTTGCCCAGTTTAATTATTAAGGAAAACTGTTACATTTGTGTGATTACTAGGTATAGAGGGAGAAGACTTATATATCATTGGAAAGAAAGATGAGCTTAAAAGTCTCAGTTCTGCAACATTTGCCTCCATATGGAAATTTACCCTTATGTATAAGGCCTGGAGGCCTATGTACCATGTAAGCCCTATTTAATCCCTGTTTTAATGGGACATAAGCGGTGCACAAAGATGCATTTCATCCAGAGTCCTTTCTCATGTCTGTAGACCTACTGAAACTTTTTGCTGAAACACTTGTCATGTAGCTGTCTTTATCATTTTGAATGACAGCATAAAAACCAAACATATGTTTTAAATTATATGAATTCAAGGTAACTCCATTTTTTCCACAGATAGCAGGTGTGTACAACTCACCATTCCGACAATCACCTGATCCAATGGAAGTACGGTTACGGAAGGCAAAGCCCTTTAGCTACAGGCGGCAACAAATGAAGAAGCATTTTACTGATGAGATTTCTGACTGGCTAACTTGTACAAGCACCCTAACTTTCCCTTCAATGAAGCCTCTTCCACCCATTGGTAGACAGAAACCTCAGGTAACGCATATCAATAATTCTTAAGCAATTAACTCTGCCAAACATTTTTGCTGATAACGTTCTTCTTATTCTTATGTATTGATCATATTGGTTCAGGAGATACTCTCTTTCAAAGAGATCTATTTTCATTTTCAAGAAAGAGAACATATACAGGCAATGAGACACTATGAACTAAATTTTTGTTCTTTGAAAATATACAAACACTTTAAAGTTCCAGTAGGAAACTACCACATAGATAATATCTCAACTGAAGCTCGTTAGATGCAGTACTTCCAATTGCACAGGTCTGCATAGAATTCTGGGATTATCAATCAGCATGCAGGAGAAATTAGAGATAACGTGAAGAGATAACCAATGAAAAGAAAAACATTTTTTTAAAAGCCACATAACAGCTAGAAAATTTAAATAGCCATTATTGATATACATGTCTGTTAAGTTTTGCTTTTCATTTAAAGGCTAGGAAATATCCTCTTTACACGGAAATATTTTCTTCTCTTTTGTATCCACTACATGTGTCAAGTATCAGAGGGGTAGCCGTGTTAGTCTGAATCTGCAAAAGCGGCGAGGAGTCCTGTGGCACCTTATAGACTAACTGAAGTGTTGAAGCATATGCTTTCGTGGGCAAAGACCCACTTCGTCACATGTTAGTCTATAAGGTGCCACAGGACTCCTCGCCGCTTTTACATGTGTCAGTTTTACATGTTCAGAAGCTTCAGGGGGTAGCCGAGTTAGTCTGTACAGGTAAACTGAAAAAACAAACAAACAAATAGTCTGGTAGCACTTTATGGACTAACAAAAAATGTTGTGTTAGCAAAAGCTAGCTCATGATACAATCTACATGTTTTGTTAGTCTGTGAGGGTATGTCTACACTACCCTCCTAGTTCGAACTAGGCATACCGCACTTGCAAATGAAGCCCGGGATTTGAATTTCCCGGGCTTCATTTGCATAAGTGGGGAGCCGCCATTTTTAAATCCCCGCTGGTTCGAACCCCGTGCAGCGCGGCTACACGGGGCTCGAACTAGGTAGTTCGGACTAGGATTCCTATTCCGAACTACCGGTACACCTCGTGGAATAGGTACACCTCTGTTAATAAACAGAAAGAAAACACTTCCATAGTATCTCCCTCAGTAATTTCCATGGAGTTTATCATTTTAGCTTCAGTAATAAAATAGCAAGTGATGGTAACAAGTTATAGTAATTTGTATTTATGGGTATATTACCTATCCTCTGAAATGCTGCTTTACCTGTCCTTATTCAGAAAGCCAAAGATGTTGTGCCTATCCTTCAGTGGGATATGTTTATATGCACTTTATGTCTCTAAGGATACTCTGGGTGATACCTTGCCTGATGTGAATTGCATAGCGATCATTTGAATATTTTGAAACAAAGGGGAAATGATAGCATTTGCACTGCTATTTTACTCTTACAAGATCACTTTGTTATTATGCAATGAGTTTTATCTTGCAAGTCTTTGTTTTGGTTAGAGTATTTGGTAGCACTTTCTAACACACAGGAAATGCAGTCCTAAACAGATAGCCTTTCAGAACAAACCAGAAGAGTTCTCTTTATTTCCTGCACCTCAAAGAGGGAATTTACTATATAATACTTTAATCCTTTCAGTGTTCTGGGATGGACACGGTGGGGTAAATTTTCAAAGCACAGTGCGTGGATTTAGCTGTGTGACTCTTATTGATGTTAATGGGAGTCACGCGGCTAAATCCCCACACACCACTTTGACAATTTAGGTTTGTATGTCTCAGGAAAGGACATTGTTCTAAGCTGATGAAACAGCTGGACAGAATGCACAGGTCTGAAAGTTGTCTCGTGTAACAGTATGGAATTTAATTACTAGCCATCCTTGCAGCTTAGTTCTGTGTGACAACACTCTTCTACACCAGCTTTAATGTAAACATCAGGCCCCATGCTAGTCACTTGTGTTTCACCATCACCTTTATAGATAACCAAAATATGTTTTGTCCTCAAGGATGATATTGAAATTAAAATGGAATGTATGTATATTTAAGAGAATAAAAATTAACTATCCACCAGTTGTCTCTTAGGGAAATTGGTATTCTGCATTTTATAGGCAAGCACTATGTATGTAAGAGAGCATATATGAAAGAAAACGTTTAGTGCTGCTCTCAGTTATATCAGATATATCATTTTTACTACTGAATTAACAAGACTTACAGTCTGATGAAAGTACAGCTAATACTGGAATTAGTCATCACTTCATTAAAAGGCATTAAAACAGCAAGCACTTCGCTTTTTCTTTTTTAAAGTTTTTCCCCAACCCCCCCTTTTTTTTTCTGGCTGGTGTCTATGCTTGGGTGAGCAAAGGCATGATTTAATTTAGAACAAAATATCCATGGGTGACCAGTGACTCCACTTCCTGCAGGAGCCCAAAGCACATTCACTACAGCCAGTGACCCCCGCACTGCTCATCTGGGGACAAGGAGGCAGAGCCCCAACTGTGGCATGCTGCAGCATCAGTGCCCACAACTCCCAGGGCTCCAGGCCCTAAAGCACTGGGCAGGCAACGCATTCAACCCCAGGAAGTGCAGTAGCCTGAGGGAGAGGACACAATAGGCTGTTCGGGGATGCTCAGTCTCCCCCTGCCTACAATAGCTGATGGTGCCCAAGCTATTCTGTCAATACTGTATTAACCCATAAATGAGCCAGACAGATTCCAGTATGTGTCTGTCAGTGTCCCGCTGAGGCACAAAGACCTTGGCATGAGCTAGCAACTGGCATCACAACATCTACTTGAGAGATTTTCAGCTTATATAAATAGGTAAACTGTTGTCTAAGCACACATAGAAACCCTTAAAACACCTCAGGCTTGCTTGAAAGTTTTATGAATCTTTCAATGTATCTGAGGACTCTTGCATAACAACAGCTATATGCTTGGCAGCATGGGTCCATAGTGCTGAAAGTCCAGGGCCACATTGTGTAGCTTTATTCCAGGAGTTTAAAAGCATCACAAAGGTAATACTGATCTGGTACATCCAAATTAATCATGGCTGACCAGAAGGCTGGGCAACATCTCCTCCTGACCTTATCTCAGAGGCAAGCTATATGACCAAAAAGTTCCAGCTGGCAGTGACCAATGAGCATTTCAATAATGGAACAAGCAAAGACAGTGTGGCAAATTCCAGCGTTAATCTCTTCGATGGCTAAGAGAACTGATAAGAAATATGTCCCACCCAAGGTTTCTGAATTTCTTTTTTCTCACCCAGCACCAAATTCCCTCATGCTGGAAAATGCACAACTAAAATACAAGCAGTCTATTCCATCGAACCGTGATAGCAAAAAGCTCTATGCATTCTGGTACATTCCGCCTTCTACTTTACAATTTTGGATTTCAAATTATGCAGCTTTATTGAGCAAATATCATTACAAAAATCACACAATTGCAAAATCACTATTTCAGGCCACCTTAGACACTGCTGACACGGCTGCACATTGTACAGCAACAGTGGTAGTAATGAGGAGGGCATCATGGTTTAGCTCCATTCCATTCCCCAGGGAGATTAAAGCTACAGTAGAAGATCTGCCCTTCGACGGCCAGAAGCTGTTTGCAGCTAACACCAACGAAATTCTCCACTCCATGAAAGATTCCAGAGTGATGCTTTGGTATTTGGGGATCCACAACCAAGTACCTAGAAGAAGGCAATATAGGTGTCAGACCGAGACCTTGATACCCCCCTCATATGCACAATACTACAATAGACAAGACCAGCAGCAACACAACAAATGCAGAGACACAAACCAATGACGATGCCCTTCCTTTACCACAGTCGCAGCAGTCCAACAAGCGAATTTGATCAGGTCAAGGGTCTGGAGAGCCTCTCACCTATTCCAACACCATCAACACAAGCAAATCTCTTCCAGCATTGATCGTTCGATGGTCTCTCCTACACAAAACATACAGTTTATAGGAGGAGGCCTCGATTTGACAGTGGTTACTGCATCCCTGCCTACAGACCATTTCTGAAAAATTGTGGCCTCTGTAAATACTTTACGATCCAGCCCCCAGACGACAGCACTCAAACACCTTCAGCTGGTAGGGCACATGGCAGCGTGCAACTTCATAGTCAGCAATCCACATCTGCACATGAGAAGTTTACAGAGCTGGTTGGTACAGGTGTACAAACCCAATGTCCATCTGCTATCCAAATCCCTAGCCCTTCCAGAGATAGCAAAGGAATCCTTATGCTGGTGGCTGAGCCCATGGAACCTTGGTTCCGGAGTCTCCTTCCACCCACCAGAGCCATCTATCTCCATGACAACAGATGTATCTCATACAGGATGGGGTGCCCACTTATGACATCATACCTGCCAGGGCCTACGGTCCAACACCGACAAGAATATACACATAAATGCCCCAGAACTGCAGGCAGTCAGGAATGCATGAATCATATTCCTCCCATTCATTGCCAACAGGCACATCAGACTATACATAGACAATGTCGCAGCAATGTTTTACATAAATCGTCAGGGAGGAGCCCGATCTCGAGCACTTTGCACAGAGACCATAGCCCTTTGGAACTGGTACCTGAAATACAATACAGTTATAATCACAGGGCATCTTTCAGATGCCCTGAATACAATGGCAGATGCACTCAGCAGAGCCTTCCTGGTTGAACATGAGTGGCAAATGAACCCACTCATATTGGTGGACATCTTCCACCTGTGGAGTCACCCTACCATAGACCTGTTTGCCATGCAGACTAACAACCAATGCTCCCTATTTTGTTCCAAGGAGAGAATAGGCAAGGGATCAATGGAAGATGCCTTCCTCATCTCATGGACATCTCACCTATTCTATGTGTTTCCTCCTATACCCCTATTGAACAGAGTAGTTCACAAGACAAGGAGGGACAGGGCTCATCTCATACTTATAGCACCGTCATGGCCATGACAGCCATGGCTCTTCCCTGCCTAGTTGTGATGTCCTATGCCCCACCTTTCCACTTACCTTGCGTAAGGAATCTCCTTCACCCAGGCTCTCTGGCCATCCAAACCTCCACTCACTGCATCTGAAAGGGTGTGGCTCCTGTATGGTTCTTTGACTTAGAGTTGACATGCTCTCAGCAAGTACAAATGGTCCTTTTACACAGTAGGGTGCAGAGCATCTGCAAGACTTACCTTCAGAAATTGAAAAGATTCTCACCAGCTGGTTCCTTCAACATCCTCCTTACCTACCATCCTCAACTATCTTCTGCAACTTAAACAAGTGATCCTCACAATAAGCTCCATTAAAGTTCACCTTGCGGCTATTATAACGTTCCACTCCAAGATAGACAACTCGTCCATATTTGCTCATCCACTCCCCAAGAGCGGCGAGGAGTCCTGTGGCACCTTATAGACTAACCGAAGTGTTGGAGCATAAGCTTTCGTGGGCAAAGACCCACTTCATCAGATGCATGTGACGAAGTGGGTCTTTGCCCATGAAAGCTTATGCTCCAACACTTTGGTTAGTCTATAAGGTGCCACAGGACTCCTCGCCGCTTTTGCAAATTCAGACTAACATGGCTACCCCTCTGATACTTCACTCCCCAAGAGGTTCTTAAAGGGCCTGCAGGCACTTTATCCAGATAATATTCCATTAATGCAACCAGGAGACCTGGATTTAGTATTGAATGTTCTAAGTAGACTGTCTTTTGAAACACTGAAGACCACCTTATTATTACACTTGTCCATGACAACTGTTTTCCTCATAGCTATTACCTCAGCCAGACAGGTAGGGGGATATTGCAGCCCTAATTGCAGATCCCCCATACACCACCTTTTTTAAAGATGGTCACATTACGTACCCATCCCAAATTCCCCTCAAAATACACTCATTCTTCCCCATCAATCAGATGATACACCTTCCCACCTTCTTCCCCAAACCACACATCAACTCTTTTGAGATGAAAATGCTCACTCTTGACTGTGCAGAGAGCTCTCCTTTTACCTGCAGCGAACCAAACCATTCTGGGCATCTTCCAGGCGCTTAGTTTCAATAGCAAACCACAATAAGGCCCAGGCCGTCTCATCATAGTGACTCTCCCATTGGATCGCAGATTGCATCAAGCTTTGCTAAACACAGTCAGACGTGCTGCCTCCAGATAGCATAAAAGCACACTCAACCAGAGCCATGGCTACCTTGATAGCGTTCCTCAGTAAAGTACCCCAAGAGACATCCACGCAGCTGCCATGTGGTCCTCTGACCACACATTTGCAAAGCACTACGCACTTACGCAGGGACCTCTTTCCACCCTGAAACTAGCTAAAGTGGTTCTTTCCACTGCTTTTCTGCCAGATCCAAAGTCCATTTCTCCCTAAAGAGAAGTTGCTTTGTAGTCACCTAATGCGGAGCGGCCACGGGGATATCTCTCTCAAAGAATGTCAGTTACTATTGAGGTAAGTAACCTCCTCTCTCCTTCTCTCTGCTGAGGAAAAGATATTTGAATAGGGCTCTGCATTCTCTCGTGTGTGAATCCCAGGAAGGTATGTAAAGGATAGGCTAAGGTGGGTTGTGCTTGAGGCTGTGCCATTGTTATTATATAGCAATTAGGCAAAGTCTAATTGCTGAATCCCTTTGTAGTGCAGTGGTCTGGGTGCTTACCCAGGTATGTGGGTTTAACTTCTTCCTCGGCCTCCTGAGAAGGGACTTGAGAAGCTGTCTCTGAAGTGTACATCTGGATGCTGGACTAAGAGGTGGCCTGTCTGCGGTGGGCCTAGTGTTTGCTGCCTCATTTGGTTCTGCTGCTGTTACACATTCATTCCATATTCATAGAGATCATAAGGCTAGCATGGATCCTAGCAGTTTGGGTGTGTGCTTAGCATTAATAGGCCTAGGGTTCAAATCCCTCTTGATGAGAAGGGAATTTGAACCTTCATCTCTTGTCTGTCAGCTGAATGGCCTAAGTGCTGACCCTTGCTCTGCTCCACTTTCAGTGCATATCTATAGGGCCAAAGCCTCAACAAACAGCCCTGAGTAGTTTATTGGTGGGGTGTGTGCCTGCCAAGTGGGAAGTTGGGGTTCACAGCCCTTTCTTCCTTGTTGATCTCTTACCTCTCGAGTTACTGGCCTAAGAACTAAGCTATTCTTATCCTAAGGAGGTATTCTAATGTGCTGGCTCCTGCAGTGTTTCTTTATTGAGGATGGGCCACTGTCATTAAAAAAATAAATAGTCATTGAGCCACAAGCACCCCATGAGTCTCCCTGTATTCCAGGGGTGTGGGTGTTTGTCCTTTGAAAGGTGCAAGTATTAGTTCAAATCACCTTTATGCTCCCTGATACAAGGTTTGAACTTTGATCTCTTACTTGTCAAATAAATGGCCTAAGTGGTAGGAGGTGGAGGCTCCTTCACTTTTTTTTTTTTTTTTTTTTGATGGCTGGTTACATTCAATAAATATGAAATGAGAATTGGGCCACTTATCTCTTGTGATTCCCTCTATAATCCTGTGCTTTGGATACCTTTCCCAGCAGCAAGGAGGTGCAGGTTCAAATCTTCTTTCAGCTTGTTGAGAAACGAGTGGCAGTGTGATTTAGTACCATCAAGTGTACCACTTTAACTATATATTCATTGGGGCCCCATAAGCTTCCAAAGCCTCTGTGGTATAGGGGATAGGGTGAGTGAGGTGAGTGCCTCTGGATCAAATCCCTGCTCTGCCAGGCAGCTGGGCATGTGATGTGAGTGCATATGTAGCTGATCAAGAGGCCATTTGCAGCTTCTCTTGCTCTTTTCATTAAAGAGTAATTGCGGCTGCGCAGTAAAACCCCCACTCACTCTTGTCCAGCATGATCAGGTGACAAGCCCAAGATTGTGGCAGACCTCAAGGTGGGGGCGGGGGTTGGACAAGGATGGCTTACCTCAAAGAACCAGTCACCTAAGAAATCCTTGTGCAAACCCCTACTGAACAGTAGCTGAGGGATTTGAATCAGGAGCTCCTATAACCCAGGCAAGTATCCTAACCACTAGACAAGAGAGCAAGTCTGTTCATCTGCTGACCCTTGACAAATCATTTAACGGTCCACTCCCTAGCAAGAAGATTTATCCTACTCATCGCAATGCTCAAACTGCATATAGAGCTTTTGTTTCCTGGGGAAGAAAGAGGACTGTTTAACTCCGATCCTTATCCTGTCCTGATCTTCCCATAAAAGAGGCTTTTTCTCCCCTTAAACCAGAACTCCTGGGATGCTGAAAATCACTGGAAGGGCAGAGCTGTTTGTAAGAATCACTCATCATAGTACTCATCAGCCTTGATATTTAAATTCTCAAATGCATGTAGGTGAATGAATTTGCATTCTGTCTGTATTAGATGTTTCTAAAATGTTTATCTCCAGGCTTATAAGCTTCCTCCAAATATGTGATTCAGTGGAAATGGCAAATCTGCAGATTATAAATGAAAGCAAAATATTATTTTAAAATATTAAATGTTTCTAATGACAAAGCATTATTTTATTAAGTGCACAGTTACACTTTTTTACTTCCATCGGTAAATACTACTCTGTTAATTTCATTCAAAATATAAACAAAGGAAAAGGTGGAAGATGAATTAAAGATGGAAAAAGCCTATTTTGATCATCTGTTTCAGCAGTTACTCACTGGAACACAAGTGAGGAATTCATGATAAAAAAGAAAGACTGTGTCAATTGTTTGTGTTTATCACTGTAGTTCATGCATCTATGCTTTGCACAGGTTATTTTATTTACATAGCAACACCAACCAGGTCACTTGACACTTTTCTTCTCCTTTCAGTCATATATCTACTTTATGCAAACATTTTGTAGTACAGAAAGAATAGTAGGCATGTCTACACTAACAGGTTATTTTGAAATAAATTATTTCAAAATAATAATTCCTGAAATTCCTATTTTGAAATAAGCTTATTCCTCTTCACAAGCAGGAGTTATTATTTCAAAATAACAAGGCCATTATTTTGAAATAACAGGCTTGATAATGTGGACTCTCTCCTTGTTATTTCAAAGTAAGGGAAGTTATTTTGAAATAACTCTCCAGTGTAGACATGCTCTAAATGTTTAAAACTGTTTTCTACATCTCTCTATGACTGGACAGATAGAGGCAAACAACATTTACAGGCAGTCCCCGACTTACACCGATCCGACTTATGTAAGATCCGCACTTACGAATGGGGCTTTTTTCGCCCCGGAGCTCACGGGCGGCGGGTCGCCGCCCGTGACCTCCGGAGCGAGAAAAGCTTCTCCCAGTCTTCCTGGTCTGCTGGGGGGGGTCCAGCAAAGCCGCTGGACCCCCCCAGCAGACCAGGGATACCTGAGCAAAGCCG